AAGAAGTATGCTATAAACCAAGGCTACAAGTCTCTGTGTGGCTGCCATCTTGCGCGACTCCGTTGTTGTCAACGTCGTCGTCGTCAAAGTGTACCCGCCCACGAGCAATACCACTAGCCATGAAAACCATGAGAAAATCAATGCATGGGTTTCCTTTACTTTCCTATTAGAGTGTATGGGTATGGTGCTCCGTTTGGCAGCCATGCAGGCCACCAGAGCTCCGCTATAACATCTGAATAATGTACTAAATAAATGATTTTTAGTTATTTTATTCTCACAGTCATCATTTTTTTATAGTAATTAGCCCTTCCATGTCAGAATTCAGCTAAAAAGGAAAAGAAGTTACAGGCTTTGAACCAGTGACACTCCACTTTAAAATGAGACTGAAGTAACAAGCTTTGTAGATGATTAAGGCAATAAGGGTTACTTCAGTTATACAGGGGGAAGTTACAATCCTTGCATCAAACTAAATAAACATCTGTAGAATAAGGGCTTTACATTCTCCAGACCAACCTTTGACTCGGAGGATTTATTATAGGTGTAAGTCGCACAGCTGCTGAAGGCCTTCCAGTACACTGAACAATCCTGCATTTCACCATAGATGTAGTAACGATGAAACTGGTTTTTGGCAGCTGAAGTAACAAGGCACAATAGATGATACTGATTAGACAAATCAAAACAGAGATTACTTTGAATTCTCTTTCTGCCTGGGGGCAGAAAAGAACAAAAGTCCTTGCAAAATGCCAGCTCATTAATAATTCATCAAGTTGAAACGAGGAAATCATAACCATGTTAGAGTAAGCCTGAGACCAATTTAACCCCATTTGCAGCACCTCGAAGTTTATTAAAAATACTCTGTGGTATGTCATATTTTCAACTCTCATAGTGTTTGGAAATGTGGTAAAAAACGCTTTCTTGTGTTTGATAATATTATATTGCATCTGATCAACCACTGTTCACTGTCTTCATGTACCTGGCATCAACAGAAATGATGATGATGATGAAGATGATGAAGGTGGTGATCACAGTTGCAGAAAACTGATATTTCAAAGACTACAGTTAGAAATACTGGGTTTTGACCAACTTGCTGGTTGACAGTAACATCATATGGTATGAAATTGGGTTTAGTCCTTGACTATCTTTATTTGTTAGAAAATACAGTAAATTAATGTTCAATCTATGATCTAACTCGGAAACATATCACAGGTGATATGCTTCTGCTAACTATATAAACTGTTCGTCTTGAATGATAATGAAACCTGGTAAGAAGTCTTTAGTTCTAACATGTACCACATGGAGAAGGACTGTGGAAAAGGAGTGCAGACAGGAGGGGTGGGTCAGCTGGGCCAAAGCCAACCGCATGGCACAAGGCAGGGCTGGCTGGAGAGCGAAAGTTGCAGCCTTATGCACCCCTGGTGCAGGGAGAACTAACTAGTACCAACAAGTACATGTCAGACTTGGACAGGCTTCCATGAGGAATGCAAAATTAATCACATAATATTATCATTTTCAACATGTAACTCTTACACCGGCAAAATCTCCACTTTTCCAAGAATGTTATGCACTTGGGAGGCTGGAAAAGAAACCAAAGAAATTAGCTGTTAAGATTTTGGCTACCATTAGAATGGAATCATTACAGTGTAATCCACAAACTATAAAATTTTTGGTCAGCTTTAATTCAACCTAACTTATACTTAATCCTACCAAGGACAAGTCATTTCCATTTAAACAGGCCCTTAGAAACACAGACAATTGGGTAAAAGATCATGTTTCCTCAGTATTTCTTTATTTCCCAGTCTTTTGCTGAACTGTCTGGTTTAAACTGCATTTTTCAGCACATATCATGAAGAGTAAGAGGGGGAAATTGCGGTATTGGACAATTTTTCTTGCGGTATTTCAGTAGTTTTAGTCTCGAAATACTGTATTGTGGTATTCTCTGAATCTGTGGGATGCAGTGTTTTAGCATTACAGGCAGTATTAAAAATTATCCTCCAAGTCCTCCAACTAGACCCTCCAATGTCTTCCGAGTCTTTTCCAGTTTCGCCGTAGTAGGAAATGGGTAAGCTATTTTTCGCTAATTTAATTAGCATTCACGTCAGTGGAGTACTCATTTTGATTATTTTGTCTTAACCCTTTGAATACCAAACTTTCGCCAAAAAATACCGTTTTTAACCGTTTAGTCAGGTTTTTTAGCTGCCATGATGCTAAATAAGCCTAAGTTTTGCTAAAAAAAGCTTTTATTTTACTAAAAGGAAACATTTTTCGAGGATTAGGTACAAAATTGAGCAAAACGTCAATTCCGGGCATGCGCATAAGCCAAAATTTGGACTTATTCTTTTTTTTCTTTTTTTTTAGCCATTAACCGTTCTCAATTTCGTTTGTTGGCCATTTCCTTTCTGTTTTTCTTGGCCCTTTTACACTGGCTACCTTTTGAATTGTATTTTCTTTCTGGCTGCAGTAAAAAGTTGGATGTTAATTACGGGCAAAGCCTAGAAATGGACCTTGATCAATCATAGGTGTTGTGGACCATTTTACCACCATTTTTGCACCAAAACTGATAACGTTTTTCGATTTGCGATGTCGGAATGTCATCGATATCTAAACCTGACCATTGTGCGGAAAGGGCTAGCCTAGCACTACCATCTGCTTATCAAGAATATCTGATGACATTTAAATTGATGACGTCACAAGTGGTACAAAGAGCACGACCATTAATTACGCATATATGCGTAGTTGGTATTCAGAGGGTTAAGTTATCAAAAATTACCTGACTTAACGTTCATTAACAAATTCTTAACTCTTATTTGTGTTATTTGCTCTGAACTGCAGACTGTAGTGGTTTCAGTATGAGATCTAGTTTCAACTTAGTTTGCAGTATTTAGCAATTTTTTTGTGCGATATTTCATTATTTACCAAATTTTTTGAGGTGTTGCAGTGTTCAGAGGACCCCAAATGTACCGCGCCATGAATAAAATGCTTTTCTTACACATTCAGCTTGTTGATATTCATGTGGTTGGATTCATTATTACAGAGTCAGAATGTGATAACAGATGGAGTCCACAGTTCTCATCTCAAAGTTGCTGCATAGCTGTCACTAATCACATTATTCAGTGTAAACTATTGCTTGATTGAATGACAAGAATTAGAAACTTTTAATTACTAGAAGAACTTAGCTTACTACTTAGCTCGGAGTACTGTTAACCTGAAGTTTGGAATACTTCAAACCAGTTTTGGCATGCACTTAACAATAAATTCCGATATTAAATTGATGAATTTAAAAAGTTGATCCTGCCTTCCCCTACCCCACCCGCTGTCTGGGGGCCTGAGCTGAGGGTCACCCCTCTACCAAGTCAGTAGGAATGAGCAAAAAAAACTCAT